TTTTAAAAATGCTTGTACTGAATTTCACCTTTCTCCCTCCCTCCGCGGCCCCACATGTTGCTTGCCTCCCTCCCAGAGGGCCCCGCGAGGCCTTGCTTCACCCCCCGGAACGCGCCCACCTGATTACTCTTTTCTCCAGCAGACTCCGCCCTCCGCCTTCCCCTTCACCTCCGCCAGTTTGACTCCTTTTGGAGGTCCATATGGGACACTTTCTCCTTCCTGTTTGTCACATTGCGCCAGACAAGCCCTCAATTCTCCATCCTCAATTCTCCCCAACTACGGCCCACAACTACCACAGCTTCCTAAAGTGCTATGAGTACGCAGAATAGAGCTGCAGGCCCGCACGGCCCAGGTGCTGTGTCAGCCTATCTGCCGGTGCCACGGCGTGTACGGCCTGGAAAGTCACATGGCGGTGGAACCGGCCGGCGCCTCCACACTCCTGCTTTCCTCAGGGTAGGACGAAATTACCAAGTCCACTCACCTCCACGAAGAGCAACATGATTTCCACCGTTCGGCCCAATCGTTCCCGCCGCCGCGACTCCAACTGGCTCACAGGCCCGAGCCCCAATCGCTAGGATAAGGACACTCGCCTTGCCCCTCCACCCGGCAATGGACTCGGCTCCTCCCCCGCCGTCAGCCGCTGCGGCCTGACCCGCCCAGTCCCACCTCCCTTAAAACAACAACTGTTTCCGGTGCTACAGAACAATTGCTTCCGGGAGAAAAGAAAAATCCTTCGGAGCGCTCAACTTTTGCACTATCTTTTCCTGCAGCAGTATGGAATGTACTATCATCTGTCCTTGTGTAGGGGGAGGACGATCGGAGGAAGGCACCATTCTGTGCCACAGGGTGTGTGGAAAATCTTACTGACGCATTTTTCCCCTTCCGAAACAGACACCTATCTCAGAGCCCTAATAATTCCTCAGTTTTCGTAGTTCAAAATCTTGCTTTGCTAAATAGCCGAGCTTATGCGAAGTATACTGAAAAAACGCCCAACCGTGCCAAAAAGGTGATGGCTCGCAGAGAAAAAGTAGAGGAAAAAAAAAAAAAAATAGCAGTAGTACAAGTAAATATATTAATAACAGCCATTCTATATTGAATGCTTGCTATGTGCCCAGCACTGTTCTAAGCATTTTACGTGAATTAATCATAAAACAATCCTATGTAACATTATCCGCATTTGACAGGTGAAGGCGCCCTCTAACAAGGCTCGTTTCTCTTAGGCACATCTTTCAAACTTTGCCCAAGGTTCACTTGAATCAGATAGATACCCACCTCTCCGCTCAATATGCTACTTACTAATGCCTAGTGTCTATAGTCCCTGCATTAGTGTACTACCATTAATTCAAATGATATATAGTTTTTAAGAAATTAACTTTTAAAACTATAATTTTGTTAAATGATTCAAATGTCTTATCACCTTATAACAATACCTATTAAAATTTATCCCTCTCTCCATTCTCACTTATAGATCCTAGTTCAGACATTCATCCTGATTGTTTCCAACAGATTTTTTTTTTTTTTTTTTCCATTCTATTCGTTAAGAAAGGAGCTAAGTCTTCCTGAGGGAGCGCTGGTGGTATAGTGCCTAAGGCATTTGACTGCAAACCAGATGGCTGACAGACAGTTCAAACCCACCAGCCACTCCTCGGAAAGAAGTTGGGAACCCAAGGAGGGGTCGCTGTGAGTCGGATCCAACTCCAAGGCAGTGAGTTTGAGAAGTCTTCCTGAAGTAAAGGTTTCATTTTTACCAAACCGCTGTTAATTGCGTTCAAGACCTTCTCATTCTAATTCTATGTAATCTCCCTTACTTTACCTCCATTAAACTCATCTCCTTACTTTCTCACTTAGTTACCAAATTCATTCAACCATCAAACTGCTGATGTAAGTACTCCAGACCCTCCCTAATCTGATCCCCCAGTAAACTCCCATTACCTCATGTCAATGAAATCCATCTTGCTTTTCCTCTGAGATACAAACTCATTACCACTCACCTCCAAAGCCTTGACTCAAAGTATCTTCCCTATCTGGAATGCCTTCATTTGTCAATCAGCCTTCTCTCTCCATAAGGTTTTCCCAAAGACTTCACTCCCCATAGATCTCTTCTTCATATCCCTTGTTAGCACTTGATTTTTATATTCTATCTTTTTTTTTTTTTTTCATTTTTTAGTTTTTTCACAGGAACTCTATCATGTATTCTCTACAGTGTAGGATAATGGTAGCCCTACAGCACTGTCTCAATAAATATTTGTCCAATTGAAAGGGAAGGAAAGGGATCTAAAAGTTTGTTTTAAAAAGCCTTCATTTCCAGTTGCTGATGAATTCCATACTGCATGAAAAATATAAGAAAGGGTGCAATAATTGCTAAATTAGTTGTCAAGCATTTAGGCTGCTTTGTGAATTCCTGCTGGAGTAAGCAATATAAGGAAATAAAGAGAAATAAATTTATTTAAGAATCTCAATTTAATAATATCAACAAAGTAAACAGTCGAGATGTTGGATAATGATGGATATTTCAGCAAATCTTATATTTATAAAAATAAAGAATACTCCTTGATTATGGTCCTTTTAGAACCCATTAAGAACTTTCTTGAATAAATAGACTTAATTATGGTTTATAGAAAAGGAGGGATATTTTTTGACTGAAGAAAGCAACTAATAGTCAAAAGAAAATATTCTGAAGCTTTGAGATGTTTCCACAAGGAAAAGAGTCTGAGACTATACTGGATCCCCAAATTTTAGATAGTTTCTGAGGAAAAACTGAGCAAGAACATGGCAAACGTTAGAAAAAGGAAAAGAAAGTGCAGCATCTAGTTTTCAGAAGTTCAAGAACCAATGAGAAGACACCAGTAAGAAAAGTCAATGAAGTGAGTACCATAATAGAAATTTCATATGAAGTGGTTTGGGAACACAGAAGAGGGAGTAACTTAGACATTAAGAACAGAAAATATTTAATTTGCTCTCTCTATATTGGTATTTTGAAAGACATCTGCTTAATAGTTTTCTGCTTCCCTTTCTCAAAAGGATTAAAACGTATATATTGTCTAACTTAAATCTACAAAGATTCAACACAGGAAATTCTTTAGAGAAATTAAGCTATACATCCACAATTTGTATAAAATTTGAAACTTATAAAGTACACATATTATTTATGAATATATACATATGTGGTAAAACTACATAAATATGGGCTAGATATAAATACATCAAATTCATGATTGTTAGTACCTCTGGACAGGGATAGAGAGAAAGGAAGGAGTCTGGGGAGGAAAACAAAGGGGACTTCAGCTCTATCTCTAATGTGTTCTTTTATTTTAAAATATGAAGCAAATATGACAAAATGTTAATATTTGTTCATTCTAGGTGGTGGGCACATGGCTATTTGTTATATTATTTTCTGTACTTTAAAAATATTTTTTAAATTAGAAAAAAATACTACATAGCTAACAAAACTACCCTGTCTTTTAATTTCTTCAGACTATAAATCCTTTCACCTCCTCTGCAAAGCTGCCCAAAGCACTCTTCTTCCCTCAGTTCAAATGTAGCCTCTCTTGTTCGCTTCAATTTCTTGAGCCAACTATGGAACTTTAAACTTTTCTTTAGTCAGGTTCTTTGAAAAAAACAAGTAACCAATTAATGCAGAGTGTGATCTTCAAACAGTATCTTCCAAGTTACTGATGCTGTAGAAGAATTAAGGGGCAGCTGAAAAAATTGTTAACACATTTCACTACAAGCTTTAAAATACTTAGGTAAAAATCCCAGGAAGAGAGAAGAACCAGGAATTAGGTTTGCTACACTGGATCTTGAATTCTAACATCTAGATTTAAAGCTCACTGAAGCTGATCTATTATCTTCTACAGCTTTTAGTATTCTTTTTGCCTATTTTTCCCTACCTCCCTCCCCTTCACCCTTCTACCATCACTGCTCAAAGAATGCCTAGTTCTCTGCACATAGTAGACACTCTTTAAATGGTTATGTCAATGATAGTGTCACAATGGATCTATTATGACATCACCAGGACTAGAAGACCATGAGTAATAACCAGTTAATAGCAAGGGAAACCACAATCTCTGGGAGCAGGAAAGACCTCTTCTGGTCTCCTGGTGGATACCTTTATTGGCATTTACTTAGATTCTGTGAAAAAGAAGAAATAAAAGAAAATCACCCAACTGTTCAAAATGTTTATCAGTGTGCAAAATGAGGCAGACAGTGAATCTGATTCAGAGAAAGAAGTCAAGGACTACACCATGATGTCAAAAGAGTCCAGAAATGTCTTTAATGTTCCAGTGATCTCTACGCTTGAGATCCCATTCTCAACGCAGGAGGTCATCTCTAGAATTAGTCAAGCACAGCTTAGTCGAGCCAAAAAGGTAGGTAGTGAATCAGAAGTTTACAGTTTGCAACTTTTTTTTTTTTTTTTAATATTCCATGACTAGCTATGTTTTTATTAGAACTTGATTTATTTTCATGGTACTTGACTGTGTTAGAGATAATGACCTCAAATGACAATTTCACCTGACTGTCTGGAAACCTAGCCTACCTAACATAAGTATCAAATAATTTATGCTCTAATTTGATATTAGTCTCTTTCACTTTCATACCAGAATTAATCATTCGAGCCATTTAAGAAATAAACCACATGTGCTATTGAGTCATTGGTATAGAAAGAAAAACTAATATCAATAGTTAATACCAGCATCTATCTAAAATTAGCCAATAGTTTTCATTTGTTCCTTACTGAACTTTTATCAAGAAAATGGAGTACTTTGAATTCTAGCTCTTTTTATCTCTCCTGAACACTTCATCAGAGAGGGGTTTATTGGCCATTGGGAATGCAAGGACAATAACCAAGAGCTTAACTAATATTGCGATCAAATAGATGCCAAGTAATTGAGGCCATACAGAATTCTCTTTTCTCAGAAAGCTTAAATACAGCAAAACCAGTAAGGTTAGAAGAAAATTATTAAAGTGAAGTTCCTTATTTTGTTTAAGAAGTTTAAATATTGGTATTTGCTCACTCTCCACACAGACTTACCCTTACTCCAACTCCCCATAACTAGCAACAATAGGTGTTTGTTTTTAACAGCTTTATTGAGGTAATTAACATACAACAAAACTGCACATTTTTATTTTTCTCTCACTTTCTTTTTTTTTTATTTTATTTATTGTGATTTGGGTGAAGATTTACAGAGCAAATTCACTTTCCATACAGACATTGCCCTTCTCTTCACCCAAATCAATATTTATCTCTATCTACCTAACAGCGTTCCCTCCCCTCCCCTC